ATACAGTGATGTGTTCAAGGAAAGGAGCTTAATTAGAATATGCAGGTGGAGTGCTTGCCTAAGTCGCAATCGGGAGGAGGCCTTGGGTTCAATTTCAATCAGAAAAAATAAATGGGCTAGGCTCACAACCAAAGCCAAAAGGTTCCTTGAGGGAGCGGTTCTTTAGCTGAAACCCGAGTTAGGGTTTCCACATGGGGACAAGGAGGGAGCTCCCAGTGTGTGGGGTATGGGGTGCAGGTTACCCTCACTAGGAAACATGATGGAGATGGAAGACTTAGGGTGGTAGAAACCGCCATGGACCTCACTCCTGCTTTGAGTTTTATCCTGAGTCTCACGGCAGAGCAATGCAAGTGTTAAGAAAGGAATTGAGGAACAGAGGTGACTCTGATCGCAGATCCAGAGGGTGATCTGAGGGCCCCAAGGTGAAAAGCCGGCTCCTGTAATCCAGGTGGGGAATGAACGAAGCTGCGATGGGTTCCTGTGGGGAAGACAGAACTCAGAGATGTGTGTAGACCAGAGTGTTCGGCAACCTCGAGGAAACGCGCACAAGCCTGATCTTACCTTCCTTTTCCTAAGGCTTTTCCTTTCCCTCCACATTTCCTTAGTGTGACATTTATTTAATATTGCTTTAAAAAATATGTTTCATATCCTTTACCCCCACAAGCCCTAGCGTCTTCCCCACCCTCCTTAGAACACTCAGTGAGTTATTATTGAGACAGATTGTCAGGTCACGCTTATAAGTCTTCCACATTTTATCATCCTCCTGGATTTAATCTTCGCCGCTGTTATCGGGAGCCTTTGCTGGGCTTCACGCTGAGATTTCAGCGGTGTGGGTTTTTTAGGGAAGATTTCATTTCCTCTCCCCCTCCCTGGGCTGCCGCATTTCAACACTTATTTCCCAGCTCTTGCTTTTAATGTGTAGGTAGAATTTCATTTGTTCTCCCAAGTATTGCTCCACACATATTTCATGCGTAATTCTAAGGCACTCAAACGGATTTGGCATTTCAGCCAAAAATTAAATCCATAAGCAGTGTAAGACCGTCACTGTCAGTCACCAAAGAAATAAAGGGTGACACCCACTGATGTGCTTATTTATGGAACGAATCACTATATACGTTAGCCTAAACCCTTTTAAATTGTGCATTTTTCTCTCCTTATCTTAGATGCAAATTATGTTCCATTTACCCTCTACACCTTGTGTCCTCTGCCTTCTGTGGCCTGTAGGTGCGGCTAAAATTCACCCATGCCAAGGGAAGGCATAAACCTGGGTAAACGTTCACTTACATGTAAGCTTACATTTATTTCACTTTCTGTTGGAACAGTCGCGCCGCATTAAGACATATTTATAATTGCTTTCTATAAGAAGTCTCGTTACAACGTCATGAGTTTGCTCAAACCTAAATAAAGTCTGCCCCAAGTGGCCCAAGGTCAAAGAGAGCACACGTAATGCATACTATGTTGGCAAGCTGTTGTGTGCTGCAAGTTCACTCCAATGCAGGCTACACAAGCTAGTTTATGTCAAGAGCCCTCCAAAACACCCTGTCCTGTGTCAACCTGGTCCCTGGCTCTATGAGGGGGAGAGGGAAAAGCAGCCAGTGATTCAAGTATCAAAAGCACTGTGCCCTTAAAAAAATACCAAGATTAGTGTTGTCTATCTCATAGTATAAAATTGTCTGCAGTTGGAATGGGAAGCTTATCCAGGGAGAGAAAGCTCACTTAGAAACCCCAGCTGAGGCCGGGCGGTGGTGGCGCACGCCTTTAATCCCAGCACTCGGGAGGCAGAGGCAGGCGGATCTCTGTGAGTTCGAGGCCGGGCTGGACCGACAGCCTCCAAAACAATACAGAGAAATCCTGTCTCGTAAAAACCAAAAAAAAAAAAAAAAAAAAAAAAAGAAACCCCAGCTGACTGCCGTCCAATTCAGTCGCAGTATCTTTCTGCTGATAATTGCTGTTTCACTTGGAAGTCTCATGGGGGGTGGGGGGAACGACGACACTCTGCTCTGCCTGCAACTTGGGGAACTCCATCTGGCTGCCTCAGCAGGGCTTCTGCAGCCTCCTTCTGCTGGGTGTTTGTAAGCCCCCAACTTGATGATGACACCCGCCTTTTCTTGCTGCCTCGATTGTGCTTCTCCAGTCCTCTCCCCTGGATGCTGTGAGAGCACCGAATCTGATGTTCTGCGTCTCCGTCTGCTGCTTCTCCCTGTACGCCACTCACGGTCTACTCTTTTACCTTTTATTGCTATGCGCTGAGCAAACCCATTCATTTAGAACCCAAGGCACAGTTCTTGTGGATCATTCTCCGTGCTGGGAAGACAGTAAGCAAACAGCTTAGTGCCAATGAAACACCACACAGTAGCAGCTTAGGAGCTTCAGCTCCGCTCACCTGGGCTACAGCTGGACTCTGCCTTCACCGGCCACTTCTGTGTTCTTGGCCCCAGCAGTGCTGGTTCCATAGGATCACAAGGACCATAAAACCCAGGTCCTGGAAACTCACAGTGAGGTCAGTATTCAAACGCAGCTATGAAGGATGTTAGAATGGGTTTCACACAAGTTACTTTTATGTAAAAAAAAATCCATACAATGAAAACCGAGCCTTAGGACATGAATGACACAAGAACCACTTTCATTTACAGCATGTGCCTAGACATTAAAAATAAGCAAAATGTTTAGTAAACCCCAGACTCTTGAAACACATGAGCACAGATCAGGACAGCAAGGAGATAGCTATGTCATTATAGAAATTACAGTGAACAGAACCTTAAGATACCCTGCCATGACAGCTATCTTAACATGCCTCAAATATACTCCTATTGCGGGTATGGGAAGGCCATGTTATTTTAAATACATTCTACAGCTTTTTATAACTTTCATTTCATTGTTTTAAATTTTTTTGGCTTTTTAAATAAATAATAAAAGAGCAGACCAATTAAAATCTGAATTTTCTACGTCTTACAGACTACTCTAAGTGACTACAAGACACATATCTACATGTACCTGTACAAGGCAACGGATCTACTTTTCTCTTCCCTCCTGGGGAGATTGGGACAAATTGCTTCTAATGAAAGCACAGTCTCTGAACAGCAGCCCAGCTGCTTTCTCCCGGCCTGGCTCTAACAGTAGACTTGCTAGCCTTTTCCCTTATCCTGGTCTCACGTCGCAGAAGCAGCCCAGTGGAATTTTCTTTATCTGTCTTCACTCACACTGGTTTGTGCTGGTGCAAGAGGACACTACTGGAGACTGGACTTCACAGGAACTCACCTCCTCCAGTGCAAACGTCAGAGGTCTAAAGTGACGCAGAACATATTACATGCCATATACCACACAGGACAGGTTACATATACATAACATGTGACGTGTCACACACAGTAGCTTACACATCTGTCATATATTACTAAAGAACCATGCACACAATACATGTAGTATCTTACACAAATATCTCACAGGTAGCTAATGCACACTGTCTTACAAAGACTCCATTACATATATGTGAAAAAGAGCAGGAGTGCACGTCTACACATCTACTCAGCCCATTAATGCTACACAGTCTTATGTGTCTGACCCATAAGCTTCATGGTTGGGTCTTATAACTGGTTTTAAAACTACTGATCAACTCCACTTCTCTCTATGCTATGGGTTGGGGCAGCAACTGAACGGAGCTCGTTTTATTTGGAGGATTAGCCCTTGCTTCAACCTCATTACGTGATGACGAGGGTGTTTGCTGATGATATTGTTGATGAGGGCCTTAAAAGTTAATTCACACACATGCAGAGGGCCTTGGTCGGTCCCATGGAGACTCCCTGACCGCTGGTTCAGAGTCCATGGGATGAGGACCTGTCCCTGGTGCTTACCTGGCTTTGGGAGCCTGTTCCCCATTTGGATTACCTTGCCCAGTCTTGAAGCAAGGGGAGAAGCTGAATCTGCCTTGTTTTGTTCAAGCCCCCTTCTAAATGGAGATGGGGGAGGAGTGGAAGGAGATGGGGAGCAGATGGGAAGTGGAGTAGTAGGGGTCGGGGGGAACTGTAGTCAGGATGTGATTGGAGATGCCATTCTGTAAATCTGTCTCTTATTGGTTGTTGAATAAAGCACTGTTGGCCAATAGGGAAGCAAGATAGGTGGGACTAGGAGTCGAGGAGGACTCTGGGAGAGAGAAACACAGGGAGTCACCATGTAGCTGCCACAGGGGTAAGAAGTCCGGACCCTTTTCTCCGGTAAGAGAAATACTTAGATTAACAACTAGGGAGTAAATACTTAAGTCAGAACTAGCCAGTAAGAAACAAACGAGGCCAACAGCTTCATAATTAATACAGCGTCTTGTGTGTTATTTGGGGACGGCAACCTGGCAGAGCCCAGGCAGCTGGTGGGGAAAAACCAAAGCGGCTGGCAAGGAAAAGGCTTCATTCAACAAGGATGTAAAAATAAATGGAAAAAAATGTTAAATAAAATTTAGAAAAAGATGCAAAAAAGTTAATTTACATGTTGCTGAATCACAACATTATAGCTGAAGTGGGCATTTTGAGTGAATCTAGCCTGCAGTGGATTTATTTCTCTGGACTAAAAGGTAAAGGCATCCTTTGAATCCACTCAGTTTTACTGAGGACCCAAAGCTGCTCTAAAAAACTCAAGCCTGTTTTTAAAAACAGCACCAGAAGTATTTTCTACAGAAACACACTTTATCAGAGTTCAGATGAATCCCAGAAGGGCCAGTCTGGTGTCTGGAAATCACCGTTGTCAAACTTTTCTAGTCGCTGCTCCAAAGTTGCTTTCACAAAAGCAGCTTTATGTTCTTGTGTTGAACTGGGTGTGACTAGATTGCTTGGATACAGACACACACAAAAAACCCACACACAAAAAATCCCAGAAAGTTAGCACACAATTTCCTCAGCTGGACGGTAATATGAGAGCAGCTTCCCACCGAATTCCTTCCTATTATAGATTGCTAGTCCTGCATGTAGGTGTCACTCTGCTGATAATTTACATCAATAGTAACTTTCAAACATGACAACATGGTGCTAAGAGATTTTTTAAAAAGTATATAAGAAAAAGGGATCCAGCCATTCTTTTTCAAAAAAGCACAGAGAGTGGACGTATTTAAGGAACAGTGTGACACGATACTGTGGCCTCCATGTAATGTCAGAACAAGGGTACGGATGAATACACACAGAGATATGAATTATCCAAGGCCTAAGACAGGGAGAGAACACCCGGGAACTGGAAAGTTCTGCAATGGTAAAAAAAAATTGATGACGAGATCTTGCAAATGGATTTGAAGTGGATTTCTGCCCATGACATTCAACCCCAGGCAGCAAAGAAGTCAGTCTGACGTTGAAGCTGAGAGCTCGTGTCAAGTACTTGGGAATAATTCCGAACAACAAACTAATCACTGTCAGTGCTTACTGGTCTAACACGTTGCATAAACTTCAAGGACAGTTTTCAGTTCATAGGAAGGTTATCGTGAGACCTGGTGGTGTGCAATGATGCTTTCTCTGGGGCACAGGGCCTGGTGCGTCGGAGAGTCAGGTCTAACTTTGCTTTAGAAACCCGTAATCATGCTACATCATCCGGCCCTACAAGTGGGATGTCACTGCAGCACATCTCAAGCAATGGCACTTATGGAGAACCCTGAACAGAGCTCTGTCTTGGGAAGATGAAGCAGAAGATGACAGCTCCATAACCCATGGAAGCTGAGTGGCGGGCATTTCTCCGAGGGTGGTTTTTAACCCGCGCTAGGTGATGGCCACTGAACCTCAAATGTGAGAAGAGGGTTGTATGTGTGAATCGGCTAAGGGCTAGGTTAAGACTGCTGTGGAAACAGATTCGAAATAAAGCCCACGGGAGCTGACTGCTGATTCACAAGCCGCAGCGTTTAGTTATGGGTGGACAGGGCGACGACGATGGAATCCTGGTCCAGGATCCTAGGGCGGAACAACACATCTCAGATTCTCATCCCTTCACAGATGAGACCTACACAGGTGACAGCACTGTACACTGAATGCCTAGACGGACACCAGATGTCTGCTCAACTAAGTGACCGGGAAGGGTAGGGTGTGGAATCAACAACAGTGCAGGTTGAAAAAGGAAAAACAGGTTGATGGATTTACAGACAGGTAAATGAGTACTGGATGGGAGCTACTCAAGAACTCAAATGCTCTTTAAAGTTCACTATTCCAACACAGACAAAAATCATTTTGCTTCCTAAAAAGTCACAGACTCGGACGTAGAACAAGCGTCTGCTTACTCATTTTTGCCCCCTGCCTGTGAGGGCTGCCTGAGCACAAATTGAGAGAAATCTTAAGCTGATGGTGATTCAGAAATAAGATTGGACTGGAGCCGTAATTAGCTGGCTATGTCTGGCTTTCCTTTTCATGGCTTTAACTGAGCGTTTAGTCATCTAGCCTTGGAACCGTTAGTGGAACTTGGAAGGCACCCTTTGCTGAACTGCTCCCTTTAAGGGCAGGGAAGCGACAGTGCGATTCCTGAATTGCTGAGGGGCCTGTAACCAGAACTAAGAAACTTTATTTCCCAGCCTCACTGAGAAGGACACAGCTCTGTGGTGTCCCGTGCCTGCTCTGCACAAACACCCTTTGCGCCATGCCCCCCCCATGCGCATGCGGCTTTTTTTGTCTTGTTAAGCTCATAGCTTATTAGGGGGGGCCCTAGCTCTCAACGCATTGATGTTTCGCTGTTGAAAAGGTACACTGCTTTCTCAAATCTCTGTAGGAGAATCAAACTCCTGAAACGCGTGAAGACGGTCCAGCGGCGCTGGAGTTGGAGATGCTGCTGCTCGCTAGCCGCGCCCATGCGGTTCCGCCCCACTCCTCAAGCGCAAGTCTTCACAGGAGCCCGTCAACATCCAGAAGCTCGCAGTACCATAAGAAAGCTCGTCCTGGTGCCTTTAGTGGCAAGAAAACAATTAAAACGTGGGGCCAAAAAGGAGACTCAATCCGAAGTATTTCAGTTATCTTTCTCGGGGTGAAGAGATTCACAGGGATAGCGGGGAACTGCAATGGAACGTCCATCTCGGGGTGTTCGTCATCTGTTAAGACACAGAAAGACAGTGAGTGGGAGTGAGTTTTAACGTGTTTGTGTATAGAGTAAAGTAATAGGAATAAGAAACGTGTATGCCATCTATAGACAAAACACGTGTGTGGAGAAATTAGGTGTGCTTTATAAACAAAGCCAGTTACAGGTACATCGGGCAGACAGCTTGTCTTGCATACAAGTCCCGGGGAGTGCGTAGTCGTGACTTTAAAACACGGAAGAGCGCCGTCGAGCACCCTGTGAAATGCAGCCTTTCTTGCATCGAAGCCAACGACCTCTTCGCCACGTTTTTGAGGCAATGTGCTGTGCTGTTAGAGGGAAGCAACTCGGTGTCTCGCTGACTGAGTTTCAGATCTCTAATCCTTTTAGAAAGCGTTTTGACTGCTCTTTTGACTGCTTGGGGTTTTCAAGAGCTACATATATCACATGTCACAAGCTCCCTTAAAGTCTTCTGAAACTGCCGGGCATTGGCAACGCACGCCTTTAATTCCAGCACTCGGGAGGCAGAGGCAGGCGGATCTCTGTGAGTTTGAGGCTAGCCTGGTCTACAGAGCGAGTTCCAGGACAGCCTCCAAAGCAATACAGAGAAACTCTGTCTCGAAAAAACCACAAAAAAGTCTTCTGAAGCTAAAATAAAATACAAGTATCAGAAGAAGCGAACTCATAGCTGGGTGTGATGACTCATGCCTGTAATTCCAGCACTCAAGAGTCTGAGGAAAGAGAATGCAGAGTTTGGGGCTTTGTCAGGACTGCAAAAAAAAAAAAAAAAGAAAAGAAAAGAAAGAAAAACCCTGTCAAACGAGCAATCACCACCACCACAACAAAACCCAAATCAACTGAACAAAACTGTGACAAGAGCAACAACAAATCCCTCCACATCCGGTCTTCCGATTGCAGTGCCGACAGTTGCCATGGTATCCAGGGTGACTGTAGATCCTGGTTGAGGGAGCTGCAGTGTGCTCCTTGATAAACTCTTAGGTGCATAATATAGTAACTCCCTAAAGTATTTGTGAATAGTCTGAGAATTTCATATTCTACATTAAAGACACAAGAACAAGATTAAAAAAAAAGAAAAGCAAGGTAACAAATGCCTAAAAATTAATGCAATAAATGTACCAGGAAATTGTTTTTTAGTGCAGAGAGAGACTAGAGAGATGGCTCAGCTGTTAAGAGCACGCTCTGCTATTGCAGAGGACCCGAATTCAGTTCCCAGCGCTGATAGTGGGTAGCTCACCATCTCCTGTTGCTCCAGTGCCAAGGGATCTTACGCCCTCTACTGGCCTCTTCAGGCATCTGCACTCACATGTGCACACACACACACACACACACACAGTTTAAAAATGCTTAAAGGAGAAAAGTGTAGTGGAAGGAATGAAAAGGCGTTGTAAGACAGTGATGTTTTTCTGGAGTTGAGGAACCAGAGTACAGCAGGCACCCTCTCCTGGTTTATTGATTTATTTGCTGCAGGGGGGGGATAGTGGGGGGGTTGGGCACCCCTTGAGCATGCTGGGCAAGCACTCCGCCACTGTTCCACATCCCCAAAGTTTCTTATGTTCCCCCTACTTTCCAAAGTCTCCCTGCAGAACCTGGCTGATTGTTTTCTTTTTTTAATAAGGAAAAACTATATTCAACTTTACTTTAAACTTTGAAGACAAGGGTCTGGAAAAATTGACTTGGTGTTAGGATTTCTTGCTGTGCAAGCACATGACTAGAGCTTAGCATCTCAGCGCACAGAGAACAAACCAGGTGCACTATGCACACCCGTGCCCATTCTAGACCTTGCTGATTCCCAGCCTAGCCAAGAGGATATGAGCTGTAAGTTCAGGGAGAAATCCTGCCTCAAAGGAGTAAGTGGAGAGTGGGAGAGAGGGATATATATATATATTGGTTTTACGAGACAGGGTTTCTCTGTATTGTTTTGGAGGCTGTCGGTCCAGCCCACCCTCGAACTCACGGAGATCCGCCTGCCTCTGCCTCCCGAGTGCTGGGATTAAAGGTGTGCACCACCACCGCCCGGCAGGAGAGGGGGATATTGAACGCCCTCTTTGTCTACCACATGCAGATACAGACAGACAGACACACACACACACATGCACACACGCACACACATACAGAGACCCCCTGGGCATATATTCACACAGACACATGCCACATGCACAGACATGTAAACACACTAGCAAAATAAAAAAAATGATTTAAAAAAAGACAGTGTGAAACTAACAAGAGAAGAGGTGGAAATAAGTTGCCCTCTGCTTCCCCTTAATGCTCCGTAACGAGGGAGAGCAGAGCCACAGGATGCCTAGGTGTATGCGTTTGGTCTCACCGATGCTAAATGAAGGACACACATGTATGGTGTCCTCAGAATCCACAAGAGGGAGTCGGGTCCCTGGAGGTGGAATTACAACAGGCAGCTGTGAGTCACCTAACACAGGTGCTGGGAACTGAACCCAGGTCTAGGTGCCAGCGGTCTTAACCACCGAGCGTTTTCCCCAGCTCCAGTCTTAAGCTTCTGCAGAGTCCACCGGCATATTCTTGCTGGTATGGTTTCCAACTTCATAGAAAAAGGCATCCAGTTTCTTCCTTTGAAAAACTGAATTGATTCTCTCTCGGTTACCAAAACCAGGGGATGGTAAACGGCAGAAATATTAAGCTCTCGAGTGCCCACGTTCGTGGGCACACACGGTGTACCGAGAAGAGGTACTTTGCACACCTGGAAAACCAGAGAATGAAACAAAGTGGGCTCACCGGCTTCCCACTTACTTGATAAGCCGAGTGTGCTGCCTTTAAAGACAGTGAAACCCTTCTCTTCGCATCCTCTCTTTTGGGTATAGGTTACAGAGCGCAACCGAGACGGTAGGCTCCGTTCAGTCCACCCATGACTCTGCAGTCCCTGACAGACACATTGAAAGCGGTGTTAAGGGGGGAAGAAATGATGTTCTAAATTTGACAGAGTCAACCCTGCATCTCACTCTTTGCTGCGCTCTGTTTTCCAGAGTGTCCGTTCACTGAAGGACACATTTCACGCAAATCAAATCAAGTCCGAAGGGGAACTGAGAGTGAGCCGGCCATGTGGCAAAGACATTGGGTTCTGGTGTCTAATTAAAACACTGACTCAGTCATAAAACACTTATTATGCATCCTATTATGGGCACTCAGCGACATGATTCGTCACAAGACCAAGCCGGAACCAGTCTCAGCGGGAGGAAATGTTGAAGGGTTTCAGGAAAGAAAGCTACTCTGTCCACTTTGGCTTTCCTGGATTAAAATGAATGTGATGACTTCCAGATGTCTTTGTGTGTGTGTGTGTGTGTGTGTGTGTGTGTGTGTGTGTGTGTGTGTGTAAGTCAGTGGACAATCTTGAGTGCTGGTCCTCAAGTAACTTCCCTTTTTGATGGAGACAGTGACCCTCATTGGCCTGGAGTGTCACCAAGCTGGCCGGGCTAGCGAGCCAGTGAGCTCCAGAAGTCCTCCCCCCCCCCCCGTCTTCCCCTCCCATCTCTCCATCACCGAGATGTCATCACACCTGGCTTTTGACTTGGTTTCTGAGTGCTGGGCGAAGGTCCTCACGATCCAAGCCAGCACTTACAGACCCAGCCATGCCAGCCCTTACGTTTTGATTCTCAGAGACATCTCTGCCTTGGTATCAGTAGGCAGACCTGATCCGGAGACAGAGGCCTTTCCGTCAAGCTGGCATCTCACCTTTCGAGCTGGTCACTCCACATCAGGGCTGAGGAGCCTGGGCAGGGCAGGGAGGTAGAGCTGGAGGTGTAGTTGGGGCGGTGCCCGATCTGTGAACAGACAGAGGTGTCAGAGGATGGAGCTGTGGACTTCTGTTCTTTCCGTCAGACGGCGTTGCCAAAGCCCACACATGACCTCAACGCCGGTCATGGTAAGAGAAAGAAACGTGCTCTAGGTGACCTTCCCAAGACCGTCACACTCCTACCACCAGCTAAAACCTTGAGAGACTCACAATCTGCTTCCTCCATGTCCACATTCGAAATGACTTCTGTTTCTAGAGAGGCCACCTCAGTGCTTGTCCAAGCCTGAATAAAAACGCAGTATGATGTTCTAGGCCTGCTCTTTCCACTGTGTAAGCGGCACTGATTCTCACCACTCTTGGGAAAAGGCTGGAATTCTTACCTAGACATTACAAACCCTGCTTTGTTTGGCCCCTTGCTGGAAGACTATCCTGGGTTTAAACCTTCTCCTGTCTCTATGTCCTCCGCCCCCGCTGGCCATCCTTGAGTGGCACAAATGGTGTCATCCTCTCTCCTCCCTCAGGGTCCTTGCCCTTGGTTCATCCGTGCTCCCGTAAACTGGCCACCTTCTGCTCATCCTACAGACCCCTACCTGAAGACCCCCTTCCTCGTGGCCCCTTGCAGGACTTTCCCCGTTATTTGATGTGTGCTGTTTGTCTCTTCAGGGATTCGTTGCTGGGCTTTATGGGTATGTGTTTGGTACTGTCTGAGGGGGGATCTCACGCGGGAGGAACCTGTCAGCTTGTATTTACTCCTGGGTCTCTGACCCGCAGGCCATGACAGTAAGAATTTCTGGCTCAAACAATGCCACCGAATTGTCCCCAAGTGCCTTCCCTCGGTGGCAGTGCCCGAGTACAGCCTGATTCATTGGTCGCCGCTGAGTAAGAAAAGGCTTCTCACTCTGAAAACATATTCCTCTTTAATGTGCTCAGCAGTAATTTTCTTGTAAGGAAAAAGCGAAATGAAATGAAATTGTCGCCCTAGAAAGAACCCCGAAATAAATGAATTTGTTTTGCTGCCCAGAGTTGTTGACTTAGTCTCAATAAAGTCATCAAGGCCAGCTGGGGCCGCACACCTGTGCGAACGAAACATGTGACATCGATTAGCTTGCCGGGTGAACACTGGGCCTCCCCACTCTGGCTATGTTAGGGAATCGGGTGACTTCATCAGTAAAGTGAGTCTGGATACCTACAGCGTGACATTTCTTACAATCCCAGAGAAAATTAGTGACACAGAAGATTAGTGTGACACTTTCATTCAAACACAACTCTGGGTCAGGGGTCAGACTAGGGAACAAGCAGCATGGTTTTTGTTTTTTGTTTTTTTTTTTTTTTTACCGTTTCTTCTGCAAGGCCTTCATACCCCCTTCCCCGAGCCTTGTATTCTTGTAGCCAACGAAAGCCCTCCTGGCTGGGGTAGGTCCCGGCCTCAACTGACCTTGATGATCTCCCTGTTGCCAGTGGAGTAATGAGTCTGTGATTAGAGCCCCGCCTCAGGATGCAAACATTGGACATTGCCATATTTGTTGATCACCTCCTAGGAGTGGGCAAAGTTTCAGAATCTGGTATCAAACAGCAGAATGGGAACACTGCTGCGTGGGGGCTGTGACAGCATGTACGAGCCCCTGTCTATCCATCCAGGCCCACAGCTCATGCACCAGACATGAACCTGGCATAAGCTGTGGACTTGGAACCGCAAGGTATCAGTGTGAACACACGGATTGTAGCCTGTGCATCTCCTTGGTTGGGACAGCCATCATGGAGGCTATCATGAGTGAGGAAGGGGTGGGTAAAAACTTCAACTTCCCAGTTCCGATGTTAAACTCCCATGAGAAATAAGTCTGGTTTTGAAATGGTTCTATATCTGAGTGATAGATGGATGGTTTAACCTAATAAACAGTTTTTTCTGGTAATGGTTTGTCCTCCACAGTTTTCTCCTCTCAAACACACCCTCTATACCGTTTCTAAGACAAATTCCAGTAAGTCCTAAAGTTCTGTCAGTCTTTGTCATAACCAGATAGAGCTCTGAGATGCCCAAAGGTGCCACCAAGTGGCTCCAGCCATCCCTTCTGTTGTAGGATTTTTGTATGAGCTGAAGACAAAGGATGTGTCTCTGGAGAAACCAGGAAGGGAACAGGATGACAAAGACACCAACAGGGTTTGAAGATTGGCTGAGCCTCACCTCTGCCTGACCTTAGGGACAGCTTGGACTGCGAATGGTCCTCAAAGCTCGTCCCACATGGAGATAAAGGTGCTGGACCTTTCTACTCCAGCAGCCACCAGTATTTATGATCCCTCTGGCTGTGCCTGGCCGTAATCCTCTGAAAGTCACACTGGAGGCACTGAGCAGTGACACATGGTGAGGCCCTGTACAGCAACAGGAAGGTCTCCAGAAAGGAAGCAAGCCATCAGCCCGCACCAGACGCACCTGGTGGCAAGTTATGGTTGGCCGTGACTGGGAAGGCTGCCTGCTTTATGAATGGATCACTCTGGGAAGGGTGTCTCATGAGACAGTCTTCTCTGACCACTGTGATCCATTGTCCGCAGCTAGAGGTTAAGCATTTAGACTATGTTGGGGAGCAGTATTTAAAAGTTCACTAGCATTTTTTTTTGCAGCTGCAGATTGCAGCCCACCAGTTAGAGAAAAGGCGTTCCTTCCTTGCTGTTGTGACAATTTATCTTGATTCTTCATGACTCGGTTTCTCATCACTTACTTAAGAAATGGTACGTGACCTTCAGAGTTGAAGCCTAAAAGATTTTGCGGGCATCTAGGATGTAAGAACAAAGGAACGGTGGCAGAAATGTGGGGAACGTCCTGAGAGAAGGATAATGTCACGTATGAGAGGATCAGAAGGGAAATAGCAAGAGCTAGGATGAGAGACCAGAGAAAGCAGAGAATATAACAAAGGAGCATCATGGTAATGACATAGAGAGAATAAAGAAGAAATCCAATTTTTAAAAAGAGAGTCCTTTGGGACTTGGGGGGCAGAGGCTGGAGACTGGAAAGTGTAAAGGCTTCCTGGAATTTATTTAGGGTAGGGGAGAATTGTAGGTGGAAACATTCGCTTGAAGCCTCCTCTACCTCCATGGTACCAGACTCTTGCTTTTAAATATCATTTCATGTTCAACTCCTCAAATGCACGACCTCCCACAGCACCTCCAAAATGGTACAGTCAACTGCAAATAGACCTTTCAGTCACCTCAGCTCACCGCCACGGAACTCAGCCTTTGTGCTGCCAGGGGACTTCCTAGAGCTAAGCCCCTCCCTGTGGCTTCCGGTAAGCTCATTGGATTGCAAAGTGCTTCCCACACCATTAAATGTAGTCCACCCATTTCTCTCCGAGTGTGAGAACCCAAAGGTTTCAGTGAAGTGTAGCTCACAAAGATATATTAAGGACACTTTTTTAAGAATTCAGGTGAGACACCGAATGCCATCTACCCACGTGCATTCAGGCGAGTGGGAGATCGGCTTCGGTGGCAGCACGGACCTACAAGTCTCTTGCGGACACCTCGACAGGATCAGTGCAGGATCTCCTCTGTGGGTAGCCTGTGGAGCCTGTGGCTGCTGGAGGTTTGACTGAGGGTGATGGGTGCACTGCCTCTGTGGGCTGAACCCTGCGCTAGTCTGTCTGTGAGGTGCTGTAATTAGAGAGCTCTGCCTGCAGACTCATCAGCTAACTTGACTTATTCCATTCATTTGCCTGGTCCTGGCAGCACAGGGCAGACACAGTCTACACCGAGGCCTCAGGACTCAAGTCAGTTAAAACCATTACATTAGCTTCACGTTTCAGAGAGCATTGAGAAGAAATGTGTAGAATTCTCTCCCATCATCTCTAGTCACCTGTGTTCTTATTACAGCCCATTCTGAATATGAATTACGCTCTTCGATTCCTTCCCCGTGCTCTAGCAAGCATTGTTCTAAACATTTTACCCATCTTAATTCACTTAATTATCAACATCTTCCTGTGAGATCTGAGGAAGAAACTATAACACAGAGAAGTAGCCCAGGGCCACCTACAGGATGTGACAGAGTTTGGTTCAAACCACACACTTGTAATTGATACGTTGCCAATGCATAGCTAATAAATCACGGACACATTGCTTCCTCTAGCCCCCGTCGCTGAGTTTCACTCAATGCTAATAAAAGTCGATGTTAGTAACTCAGTATTTTGTTTATTGCCGTTTCTGGTAGTGCAGTTGTCAAGCTAAGTGTGCCTGCTTTGTGGATTAAGCTCTAGCATTCATCAACTTGGCCCTTCTTTTCTATATGAACAACAAAACTTATCTGGAATGAACACATCGTTCTGATGAGGGAATGGTGTAAATTTTATTTGCATGACACGGAAAAGAAAAAATGAGACATTTGGGCAGTTGATAACTAATAACTAAACATACATGATACAGATGGAATTGAAGTGAAGTGTAGATATTTTAGGATGCTGAAATGGGAATCCAAACCCCTCACAGCCAGTGACTTTTCATAATGTGCAGACTATACTGCCTGGTTTCTGCCTTGAAGGATGTGTAATGTGGAGGGGAGTTTATTGGGACAACATGAAACAGTAGAAAGGGGGTCAAATTCCAGCCGAAGACAGCACAATGGAGTGTCTTCATCCAGGGTTGAGACTCATAGCTCATCCCCAGGGTGGGTCCACTCCTAGGCACAGGGGCCAGCTACTTGCAACAGGGCCGTGATCACGTGAGTAAACAAAACTGTACTTTTTTTATTAATATTTTTTTTATTTTCCATTTTAAATTTAGATAAGAAACAAGGTTGCTTCACAAGTCCCTCTCCCTTTCCCTCCCCTCCTCGCGTGCCCTCCCCCCCATCCCCCCCCCCCGTTATCCCCTCATTCCCCCAGGGAGGGTGCGGCCCTCCATGGGGGTGTCCATAGTCTGTCATTTCATATAGGGCAGGGCCTAGACCCTTCCCCAAGAGTTCAGGGTGAGAGTGCACCTCACATTGTTCTATGGGAGTCCAGAGACCGTGTGTATAATTGGGATGGGTACTGATCTGCTGTCCAAGGCTCA